GGAATGCCTGTCATTCCTGAGCGTGCACGGCTTCGGGCTCAGCTCAGGAAGGGGAGGAGACGGCCAGCCCCATGCTAGCTGCATCATCCAAATCATCAACACCCCTCGTTTCTAGCTTCAACTTGAGCAGGAACGAACCGAGAAGTGGAGGGAGAGGAAGGAGGGCAGAGGGAGACTGGCAGCTTGTGCGAGCGTGCCGAGCACTTGCAGCGGTACCACCCCCCGGCAAGAAAAAGCAGATGCTCCAGTACAAATCGAGCCTAAGAGAGCTAGCTAAGAGCACCCTCAGACCCAAAAGTACCCTAGAAGAGTCTCATTCATAAATAAAGTCAGAGTATGAGGAGGTAAAAGCAATACACACACACACACACACACGCACGCACCCACCCCCAAAACAATAATATTACTTATTTAAAATCTGAAATTAAGTACAGATTCCTTGGAGTCTCAAAATAGCAGAGACTCCCATGCCTGACAAAGGGTGACTCTGCCCAAAAGCTTGCTATGAACTTTTTTTCCAACTATTTAGTTGCTGTAATAAAAGATATCACATCTGCCCAAAGAGCCTATATCCTTAGACCAACATGGCTACAGCCAAAAACAGATTTTTAAATGCATTTTTTCTTTGCGGTTGTCACGCTATTTATTCTTGGCGAACACATTTGGTCCGAGTGAACCCTGGGTGAGGTTTGCATGATGCTGTGAGGTTTGGGCTATAAAACACTGGCAGGGCAGAGTCATGCTGCAATAAGAAAAGCATGCTTTGGTGTTTAGAATAGATTAACTCAAATTTGCATTTTTTTAAGCAAAAATATAAAGCAGGGCCTGGATGATCCACCACAGCCCTTTTAAAATGATCACGCACCAAAGCAGACAGGAAAATCCTCACACGTCCATATTCTATTTTCAGACGTTTTAGAAGCTTTAAAAGAAGTGGACGTGATTCTAGAGACCCCACGAGGACGCCCCTCGGCGACCGGGACCCAAACAGCCTCGTCAGCGAGCAAAGGCAAACGAAGCCGACCTGGAATTGGCCACGCTCAAGGGGAGCGAAATGCAAAAAGACGAACGGAAAACAAGGAGAAGCACGAATAATCCCAACCAGCATTTTAAAACACTATTGTTTCTGACAAAGCTTGAAAGTTTGCTTTAAACATATATCCCTGTATGACGTGGTGGGTCTTAAAACATGAATTAGTACTGAATCCTCTCGTTCTGCTCTGAACCCAGCCCTCTCTCTTCTGACTGATCATCTTGGGAGCTGCTCCCAATGGACCACCTAGTGCAAAAATGTCACAGCTTTATTCCCGTGCACAAAAAATCATCCTATCCACCCTGCTCGAAGGATGCAGTGACCCAAACCGAAAGGACGCTGCCTTTTCCTAAGCAAGGTCTCGACTGTCAAGTCGGATGCGTTGCTCACTTTCCTCCTTTGGACCAGTCCGCTGCAAGCCAATAGTTCAAGGCAAATATTATTGCAACTGAGATACGATCTAAAAAGGCTGTAGAGAGAACGAGAAAGCTGACTTCGGTTGGCAAAGCAGACCTGCTACAGCTGTGCACGAACAGCACCGAGCATTTGCCACCGAAGACGGAAAACGCACACGCTCCGACACCCGTGCACTGACATGATGGATGGTTTCTCAATGGAGGGAAGAGCGAGAGGCTCGCCCTGCTGCCCCTGGCTGGCACGCCTTCCCTTCTCCCCACCCGGCAGACAACGTACTACACTGACTGTCGACGGGCAGAAAGTTTGGGGAGCCAACCCCCCCCTCAAAGTTGCAATGACACGGGGGAAGAAGCAATAGTCCCCTTCTGGCCTAGGCCAACGAGGTACGTGCACGATCGCACGCGACTTGCCGCCCGCTCCTTCCCCGTGCAACACAGCGGGGACACGTGGGAAGGGAATCACCTGTCTCTGCATGCAACCTGTTTTCCATTAATTTGCACTGGCTGAATGGATGTCCCATGTTTTTAAGTTTCAAGACAGCTTCAAAAGCAGGTGAAGGGATTTAGTGTCCTAAGGGGACAAAATTCCCCTCTCTCCCTTCCCCTATGGAGAACTGATTCAAAAAACAACTTTGAAAACACTGCTTCCCCCCCCCAGCCTCAATTCCCCTGGATACATCTCCAGACTTCTTTAAGCGTCTGTCTCCATTACTTCTTGCTGCTGAATGATGCAGAAGTATCGTGTCCTTGCCGCGCTGGGGATTCATATTCTAGGTACCTGAAGTCTGAGTCACAAAGATGCTCCACTTCATTTTTAGAGTCGTTTGCTTTAACGGGAGCAGAAAGTCTTTTAGATGCATAGCTGTGTGAAGGGGAGACACCAAATCCAGGGATGCAAGGCTGCAAATTCTCTCCGAATCGGCAGATGAGTTACGTGGCCTGGGAGAAGATCTGGGAAGGGTTTCCGCGCAGCTGGTAGAGCGATGGAAAAAAGCAACAAGAGCTCAAACCTGGGATCCACTCATGCTCTCAAACCCTACAGTGGCACCTGGTCCTAAGCAGAATAAAAACCGCATCTCCCGATGAAACAGTGGCACCTGGTCCTAAGCAGAATAAAAACTGCATCTCCCGATGAAAAGAGAGAGGCCAGATTTCAGCTATCACGTGAGT